GCCTGCGTTCGGGTGTGCGGACACCTGCATTCGGGTGTGCAGACACCTGCATTCAGGGGTGCTGTGTGCGGATGCCTGTGTTCGGGTGTGCGGTGTGCAGACGGCTGCGTTCGGGGGTGCGGTGTGCGGACACCTGTGTTCCAGTGTGCTGTGTGTGGACACCTGCGTTTGGGTGTGCAGACACCTGTGTTCGGGTGTACTGTGTGCAGACACCTGTGTTCAGGTGTGCGGATGCCTGTGTTCGGGGGTGCGGTGTGCGGACACCTGTGTTCGGGTGTACTGTGTGCAGACGCCTGCGTTAAGGGGTGCGGTGTATGGACGCCTGCGTGCGGGTGTGTGGACGCCTGCGTTCGGGAGTGTGGTGTGTGGACGCCTGTGTGCGGGTGTGCGGACGCCTGCGTTCGGGTGTGCGGACACCTGCATTCGGGTGTGCAGACGCCTGCGTTCGGGGGTGCGGTGTGCGGACACGCTGGCATCGAAGGCAGCTGGATCCAGCCCATTTTGGACAGGCAGGTGTGAGCGTGTACACACGCCGACGCAATCAGTAAGTCGGGCTGGCACGTTCAGACTGGGAGGGGATGTAACTCAATGGGGCAGTGACCCATTCTCTGCCTCGGTTTTCATGACCTGGCCCCATGTGGGACTGGCTCCGTTAGGGGAGCGCGTGACGCGTCACTGGGGGCGGGGAACGGCCCTTGCACTACCAGGGATAAAAACAGCTCAGCACAAATGAGGTCCCGTCCTTTTCCGATTGTTTTAATTCCCCACAGCTCCGCCTAGTGGTGGCGACAGAGCTCTCAGCTTGTCCGAGGCAAGCGCTCAGAACGGACAGTAATCCCAGTCGTTCAATCTACTGGGACAAAGAGCTGAAATTTGGGCAGGTCTGTGGCCTTGTTCACCTGCCACGGGTGCAAAGCTACTTGGGGGCCGAAGACAATCTCCATCCCAGTGAACGTTTAACAGCCAGGGAACAGCAGGAAAAGATTTTCCCGCTGGGGGTTTCCAGGACAAAACAGTGGTTGGGAAAGTTTGTTCCTAACAGTTAACACACGACTGGCCCCCAAACTTCCTGGTAAATCCGTGCTACCGCCGCAGCTTGGGGGGAGGTGTCGAACAGAGCAACACCGCTCTCTACCTTAGAGTGGTGGGTACGAGGGTGGGGGGGAGGGGCGTTCACCCCCGCCAGGAGAGAAACTCCCTGCCAGGGACCGTCACCCAGCTTGGAGCCGCTCTTGGGAGCAGTTCCGAGCTTCGGCTGCGCTTTCGGGTCTGATGTAAACATACAGGACAAATCTCACTTGAATTCAGCCCAGTGCATGTCACACACGGCGCACACGCCGCAAACCGAGCCACTCACAGAGTTACCTGCGAGACGCTACGTTACAGATGCAGTGGGACTAAAGACGCTGCAGGGTGAAGGAACTGAACCCCATTGGAAAGGGAGAACCATGGGAGGGCTAGCCCGAGAAGAGATTTGACCAAAACTGGCCAGTCGATGTGGTGGAAACATCCCGGGAGGCTGTTGCAGCTGGATGGGGTTGCAGAGAAGTATTTAGTTAGCTGAAGGGAGCTGGAAAGTGAGGGAGGCCTGGGCTAGACTGACAGGAAAGGTCCAGGAGAAGGTCTGGGGTGTTTGTTGGTGAACCCCAGGATGGCAATGGAAGGATGGATCCCGACCTCAGGAGAGTCAGGTGTTTGAAGATGGGGGTGACATGTCCCTCTGCCCAGGCCGGACGGTGGGTTTGGGGAAGACGGGAGAGCAGGCCGAGAGTGGCGTTACAGCAGATGCGAGACGAGAGCGCAGAGCCGCAGGCCAGGCCTGGAACGAAGGCAGTAAAACACACTGCTTATCATCATCCATCAACTACCATCCGCTCCAGCCTCCTGGTGTCTTCATTCTGTGAATGCTGCAGGAATTTGGAGCTGGTGGCCCCAGAAGGCTCACTGCCAGCCCACCCATGTGCAGTCAGGCTGCGCACAGGAGTAGCATCTGTACATAATTACCAGACAGGTTTGTACAGTATCACCTGGGTGCACGTCGGATCTCCAGCCCACAGCCGAGGGCAGATGAGGAACAGTGTGATGCAAAGATGGCTGACGGGGGGCGGGAAGGAGGGGTCTAACACCGGAGGTCTGGCTGCCCACACAGCTCTGCCCCACAGGATAAAACAGACCCTGCAGCTTCTAATTCGTCCCTTCCCCAGAATCAGCAAGGAAAGCCAGAGCCCGGTGCCCGCCGAGCTCCACCCTGCACTTTGGAAGCGGTGGCGGCTACAGGTGTAATGTAGTGACGCAGGAGAGGTGGATGGGGAGCGTCTCTCCCCAGAGCACTGAGCCGTAGCTGGAGTCCATGGCAATGGGACAGAGAAGGCCTTGCGGGTGTCCATGCCCCAAGAGCCCACACAGCCCATGTGGACAGCGCCCGTGCCGGTTAAGAGGCCTGTCTGCAGCTCAGGGACCAGCAAGGGGATGCTGCTGTCTCGCCCAAAGGCTAACTGCTTGCATTTGGCAGGTAGGCCATGATTGAAGGGTCCACAGCGTTGGGTGGCCTGTAGCCCTGTTATGGCCTCTTCCTGCAGGCCCGGTTCCCCCCCCGTAACCCATCCCAGTCATCAGGCCCTGGGTGTGTTGGCAGAGAACGCCCAGGGTTTCGCTGGCCTTCCCTTCCACAAGACTGGGGCTGCTCCAGGCACCCGCTCCGCAGACACCTTGAGTTTCAATGCCCAGCTGTGTCCGTGGGGCTAGCCCCTCCAGCGTCCCCGGCCAGGGCCAAGAGGGACAGCTTAGGAGGTGTGCTGAGTCAGCAAACCAGCTCCTGCCCTTTGAGCTGGGTGAGAGCGGAGAGGGCGAAGGGGCTGCTCCAGTCACACGGCACCAGAGAGAGCCAGAGCGGGAGCTCGCGCTGCACATGTGCTGGGAGAGAGCGAGCAGGGGCTGGGGGCGAACACTAGCTGTTGAGGGGGACGGGGGGACGGGACAGCAGCTCTTGCTCTGAGTGGGAGGGTTTATATTCTCACACACACAGTCAGCACTGAGGTTACCCAAACGAGCGAAAGCTTCCAAATGAACCAGCGTGGGGCGGCTGCGGCAAATGGTAACGTCGTCCCCATGCCCCTCAAACGAGGGCAGCGTGTGTAGGGTTAAAGCAGCGAGAAAGCCAGCTGCGGGCCCTGACTGGCCCGGGGACGGGAGCTTCCATAGGAAAGGCACCAGGAAGGTGACATCAATACGGGCCCTTCCCCGAAGGCGTGGACCAGTCCTGGGCCCCGCCAGCCGCCCAGGGCAACGCTCACGGCACAGCAGCCTGCCCGGGTCCACGTCTCACTGACTATCCGCAGAGCTTTGACCCAGGCTCACGCACACATCAATAAATAAATAAATAGGGTTTGCTTTGCAGCGGAAAGACCTGAAATTCCTTTTGCATCCTCTCCCCTGATTTCTACAGACACAAAGGTGTGTACTCACTCACTCACCCACCCACCCCGTCCACTAGCCCTCCCCTCCCTTCCCCTACACTGTCTCTCTAGGCTAGAGCCAGACACTCCCGCATTCAAAACCATATGTACAACTCCTGCTCCACCCAGCTCCCATGAAAAGCACTGGGTGTCTTTCCCCTGCCATCCCTGGGCGCTGGATCGGGCCTCTCCTTTGAGCACTTCACAGCTACTGGGGGACACCAACATTTCCTGTAACGCCTTCCGACACAGGCTCGAGCTCTAGGAGCTGATTGGACACACATGCCAAACCCCCGTACTCCTAGCCTGCGCTGAGCTGTGTGTCTGACCCGGCTGCCCACCGCAGCAATGCGCCCTGCCCGGCGATGCACGGCTGAGTACTGTGTTCTCTGGCAGGGCTTCGTGCTCTGACCTCTCAGCAGTGAACACACACACACAAACCTACCCCCCCACCCCCCTCATGAGAGGGGGAAGTGAAAGGACACAGGTGGGGGCCTGCAGGGGAGACAGGAAGATTTTCTTTTCTTTTCTTAATGTAGCCTCCTGGGAAGAGAGTCTCCCCTGTTTCCAGTGACTGTGTCCTAGCTGGGCACCACTGGCAGGTGGGCATGGCTGCCCCATTCCCAGGATGGGCACACTGGCCATTCTCTCACCCCAGTCAGACTCTAATCCAGACGTGCCACGAGGAACGTGGCCAGCCCCTGGGTGACGTCAAGCAGCGCCCCCAAGAGTCTGCTGTGCAAATGTGTCCTTCGTCCAGAGAAAGGGATGCTAGCACCAAAGGCTCGGCAGACAGGGCGCTGACCTGACCCAGCGACGAGCTACTGCAGGAACCGTCAGTGCTAGAGCCAGGCCCTAGAGCCCACCTGTCGTGTGCACTAGCCTTGGAGACCCAACAGGCAATCGGCAGCACTGCTGCCCAGACGTGCGAGTTCAGCTCCTGGGTATTCCGTCATTCCCCAGCCTGAAGCTGGACGTTAAAATAGCCCCTGGTTCCTTGCAGGTTGGGAAGGACAAACAGTTCTAGGAGAAAGCTTTGAAATTCTAACCCCCCCCCCTCCCCGAAACCCAACAGCTTTCCTTTCCACGCTGGCATACACAAGAAAAATGATGGGGGGGTGGGGTCAAGGTTTTATTGGCATGAAGTTGGGATAGCGGCACCATTCAGAGACATCAAAAGGTCCTCGCACACGTGCGCACACACACGCACACACACTCACTATTTCTTTACGAAAGCAGCCCAGGCTACAGGAAACAAGAATATTCTAGATCAGAATTAAAAAAAAAAGATACAGCTTTTCCTGTTCCTCTCCTTAAATGCCTTTAGATCTGTTCTGTCGGAATGCCGGCCATATTTAATGCACAGTCAAATTAAAGTAATAGAGAACTTCATATTAACCTGTACAGGGCTGGCAGGCCTGGCAACCACAAAATAACTGTCCAGCATTTACTTTATTCAGCATGATTAAAAAAATAACAGCTCTTTACAAATCAGTGATTTCCAAGTCCCCCGGCCCTGGGCTCTGGCTGAAGCTCCCCCAGGGCGGGTGCCCGCCCGTCCCAGCATACGGCACTCTCCGAAACACGGGGAGCTAACTACTGCACTGGGAAGAGTGCTGTGGAGTCTCCCCTGTGCTAAATGGATCCAGCAAGAGATTGAAGACAATTAATTATCCACTTTCTGCCTCCAATAATGAGCTTTGGTATCTGAGGTTTAACACTAACCGTGAAAATCAATTCCTCTGCAAGGCAGCCCTCGCCACGCCCCAAAAGGCATGCTCTCTCTCTGCAGATAGTAAAGCTCTCGGAGGGGAGAGCCTAGTTTAAGCTGGCTATTATAACAAAGATATGCATGTATATTCAGATCTCCCTAGGACAATGGCGGCTGGAAGCTATTCTCCAAAGGTCAGGAGATTTCAGAACCTTCACAATCAGATTTCAGGTGTTGAACCTAGTGAATGGAAGGAAGTTTGCTTAGAAACTTGTGCAAACAGCCCTTCTTTTGTACCCGCTGGAAGTGGAGCTTTTGAAATAAAATGGCTGGCCTTGATCTTTTCAACTTAGGCACAGAGCGGGAGCTGACGCCATCATCTTACAACTGCTTACACAAGGGGCGGGTGGAAAATTTCAATATAAAACTCCCCACCCCCACCCCAATTAGCTCCACCGCCAATGTCTGCTATGGGAATATGATTATGTGCATTTCTAACAGGTTTCCCTGTGTGTATCACTGTTACTCTTCGTGTTTCTCCATTGGAAACTATTGCTTGACCTTTAAGCAGTGCATGGTTTGTGTTGATTAGACCTTCAAGGATATGTTTGCAAGCCAGTTCAAGGCGGGGTGTACAAACTGCCTGGGCTGTTCTGACGATGAGGAGAACTACCCGATCCTAGACTCTACAGCACACCACAACACTGGCAGGAACCAAAACAGCTTCACTTTATTTTAAAATGAGATTGAAGTTAATAAAAAAAGAATCAGATACTTTAGATCTCAGCATTATTCAAAGACGACATTAAGAATTTTGCCTTAAAATACAGGTGTTCTGTGCAGGGGGGGGGAGGGGGGGGAGAAGACAACGTGGGGAGGCTACACATTTCCCTTTCACACAGACTGACTAAATAACGAGTGGAAATCTGCCCTGGCTTTTCACAGGAAGGAAGATACCCGATTATTAGTGAAAAGCTACTGTCCGAGAAAGCAGAAATCCACATGGATCCAGGTGCTATGAACAAAAGGCTGATTGGAGAGGGCGTTCTGCCCAACAGTAAGGCACAGTGGGACCAATTCATCCCTGACGTACTGGACATCCCCAAGGATGAACCTAGCCCGCTGTGCCTGCAAACAGCTGTAGATGCTACAGAACTAGCGCCAATAGCCCAAGCAGTAACCCCTTTGCCACGTCGGTTTGGATCAGACCACGCTACCTCAAGGCTTAAGAAGCAGGAGAGTAGAAATAGCTGTCTAACCCTAAAGACCAGAAATGACACGCAAGTGGCCAACAATTCATATCTTTAACAGTTACCTGCCCACCACCTGCTGCTAATGAACGGAGTAATGACCAATGACCCCTTCCTTCTCTGCCTACAAGAAAAATGCTTTTGGTTTTGCTTCCCATGTCACTCACAAACACACAGTCCGGATGTTTAATGCAAAGGGGGAACGCCCCTCAAAAGGCTGCTGAAAGCTACTTTATGTGCATGAAGGTGGTTTCCTTTCTGCTACAGTACAAGTGCTTGTGCATCAAGTATAAAATGCAAGCCTTTAAATCACACAGACTAGCTTTGTTACTTATTGGTTTAAAAATGATAAATAAGGCACTGTACTTTTAACTAAAACTGCCTGGTTCCAAGCTTAAAACCCAAGGAACGTTCAAATTGCAGTAACTTCCCTCAACAGCAGAGACAGACAGCTCTCCTCTCTGTCCGAGACACACCTTCCGATGCCTAGAATCCCGGGTGTAATCCTTTAACTGCGGATTTTGAAAGGCTTGCTACAGCTTAGAAAAGCAGCTTCAGTTAATGCATGATCAAGGGTTACTACTATACAACAGTTTTTACATGGCTACCATTCTTTGTTATTTTGCATCCAGTCGTGTTCGCTTGCTGTGTGAACAGTCAACTTTTGCCCTTAACTTTCTCTTGCCCTGGGACGTGCTGCTCTCTTGAATTTTCTTCATAGACCTGGTCAGAGTTTTCCCACTGCTAGGCTTCTTGTCGGCTGCTTTCTGTGACCTGGTAGAGGGCTCCCCCGCGGGTTTCGGCTTCGCAGATTTGGTGAGCCCGTCCCGGCTGGGCGGGGGTGCGGCTCTTTGGGCAGGGTTCTCTTTGACTTTCGGGAGGGGGAGTCTGCCTTTGCCAAGGTGCCTTTTCGGGACTCTCTTCTCTTTCGAAGACACCTTTTTCTCGAGCTTACTGCTTCTTTCCATGACAGCCTGCTTTCTGGTAGCAGGCGCTTTCGGGGGAACCTCGGAATGTTTTCCTTTGCTGCCCTTCTTAGCTGGCAGCCTGTCTGTACTGGAGGAGCGAGACGGCTCTGGCACAGTGCTGCTCTCCCGCAGTGTTCTCTTCTTTCTGCCTGGCTGAGGGTCAGCTCTGGGCAAGGAGTCCTCCTGGGACCTGCTTTTCCCTTTTCTTCCCTTCACTGCTGCTTCCGCTCGCACGGACTTCGCAGGAAACACATCGGCTTTGACCTGCAAGGCCAGCTTTGGAGACATCAGCGGGTTGATGCAGACGCTCTTCCGGCTCTGCTTACTTTCCACTGAGGGATGATCAGCTGCACTCTCCCCCTTTCTTTCATTCTTTGCCAGGCGGTGCTGGGCTCGCAGTTTGCCCCTCAGATTGGAGTATTTCCGCAGAATCCTAGTGCTGGCCTGCGTTGGCAGACTTGGAGGGGGCTGCATGTTTCTGTCTTCACCAGCTTCTTCTGAGCTAGCCTCACAAGGAGACGTCTGGTTGGGACTGGCGGCTTCCCCGGGCTCCGTACTGTCGGCGTTCTCCCGAAGCCTGGCCCATAACTTTTGATTCTTCAAGTTATTTTTAGCAGGGGTAGTTGCAGCAAATTTCTTGAGGTGTTTTTTCAAGCGTTCAGCTTGCACTGAGCTGGGATACAGGCTGGAAGAACAATACTTCTGCAGAGGGATCTTGATGGGGGGGACATCTCCTGGGAGACGGGTATTGAGTTTCTTCACAATGACTAGTGACCTGGTTTCAGTTGTCTCCAAGAACCAACGGCAAATGTTGGATAACTTGAAGGCCTTCATAAACAGCATCTGGACAGGGGAAAGCTTCTGAACTTCGAGAGACGCTCTACATTTCCGGGTTCTTTTCTTGCTTTTCCAAATCTCCTTCAGCTTGTCAGCTTTGTTCTTTACTTTGGGGGCTGGCTGTGCTTCTTTTTCCAACTGAATCCAGCCTTTCTGAACTTTCATATACTGGGCATTAAAGTCAGCAATAAGTTCCTGATTCTCTTCCTCAGCACACCACTCCACAAACTTTGGTTTGTCCTCAGCCACTGTGTCCACCTCCTTCAAATCTATGGTGTCTTTGTTCCCTGAACTGTGTTCTTCCTTCTGGTTTGGATTGGCTTGCAGAACTTCCTTCCCTGGAAGATTCTTTTTTGCAGTGTCCACAGGTGTAGGGGTGTGTCTCAAGTTGTAAACTGGGAGGGCCAACTTTTTATGCTTCCAAGACTTGGATGGGACGTGTTTGCTTCCACTTTTACTACTGGGACCTGTAGGCGAATCAGTCAGATCTTTATACTGTACCTTTCCAGCATCTACAGCATTGTCTGGGTTCTCCACATCACCTGGTTTCTCATCCGATTGCTCTGCGTCCTGTACACTTGTTCCACTTTCCCTAGGAAGGAGAACACTTCTCTTATCAGAATTAGCCTCTACACAGATCTCAAGCATCTCCCCTGACTTACTATGGCTGGCTTTAGCAGGGGGGCCATCTTTCGATGACCCTTCTCTCTCCGCTGCACCCTCTTTTGCCAACATGCTTTTATAGGTTTGCCTAGTAGTAATGCCATTTTCGTCTCCTCCCCGCTGCACGGGCTCTCTCTCAAGGGCACTCCCGGTGCCTGGACCCTGGATGTTCTTCAGCAGTGTTTTGTGGAAGCAATCCTTTGGGAAGCACACGGATGCTGCTCCATCAAGGTGCACCTCCCTCCTAAACCGCTTTGCACCGGGACTTTTAGAAAGCTTAATCTGAAGACAGGGAAGCTGCAGAGAGGTGGAAGAACCAGACTTTTCAGCACTGCCTTCCGTGGGTGGCTGGGATTGCTGGCTGCGGAGACGCCGGTCTGATGCTACGAGCGCTCTCCTGCCTTTCTTTTGCTTCTTCTCTGGGTTTTCTTTGGACAAGACGGTCCCTTTACCATCCGTTTCTAAAGTGTCAGGTCCTGGTGGCATTTCACCATCGCCGTTCTCTCTCTCACCCAGCCTGCTGCTCTCTGGGGCAGTCTTGCCTGCCAAGATTCCACTGAGTTCTGCGAGAGTCGGCATGGCCTCCCCTGGCTCAGGTGGGCCTTCCCACACCTCCCTTATGTCAGCTTCTGGGTCAGCAGGAACGCTTTCGGTCACATCGGCAGACTGCAAGCTAGCAAGGGGCTCGGCCTCCAAACTCGCAGGGGGCTGCATGGGAGTCTCCGGGTCCATGCTGGCAGGGGTCATGGCAGGAAGCTCGAGGTCTGTACTAGTTGGGGGCTCTCCAGGAAGTGCCCCAGCCAGCTCCAGGTCTACTCCAGCAGGCGGCTCAGGGTCCATGCTGGCAGGAGGCTCTGCATGGAGCACCAGGTCTGCACTGGTAGGAAGCACTAGGTCCATGGTGGTGGGGAGCTGCAAAGGAGGAGTTGGGTCCAGGCCGGCAGGAGGCGCCGGAACAGCTTGTATTTCTGAGCATGGAGAACCTTTCTCCCTACTAGCAGCTTCTGGTGGAGAAAGAGCTGTCGAATCTGTAGCCTCCCTGCTGCTGTCTTCTGTGGGCCCACAGTCCCCAGCGAGGTCAGCACCGCTGCTAGCTTGCTGGAGAACATTTGCCTCTGCCTCTTCCAGCGGCTGGCACATCCTCTCCTCGCTTCCTTCAGCGGCAGAGGGGCCGATGGCTAGAGGCTGCATGGTGGCCAAGCCGCCTTCTGGTGCATTGTCAGGGCAGGGGGGAGCAGACAGAGCCAGCAGTGGCTCAGTGCGAGCAGCTTCTCTTGACTTCAGCAAGCCGCCCTCGCTGGGCTCCTTTTCTGCTCTCTCGTTGGCTTCTCTGCTGGGGGGAGCCCCTTTGGACAGGAGCCTGAGGGACGCTCTTTTGTCAGCCTCTTTCCCCACAGCTTGGGCTGCCTCCGAAGGCTCGCCCCCAGAGAGCGCCGGGCTCTGCTTAGCGCTCAGTAATGCTTCCGTCCTCCGTGCTGGACCGTTTCCTCTCTCCCCCACTCGGGAGCTTTTCACCAGCGTGCGGACAGTGGGCAGCTCACAGCACTCGCCGTTGAAATAATACCCGCGGGTGCTCTTCCGAGCTGTCCTCCGGGACACTGACCGCTGGCTCTCCAGGTGGCATTCAGTTATTGGCTGGCTGATATAGACAACGTCACACTGGTTGTCATAGTCATTTATTCTCAGTCCCGATGCCCGTTTATTCTTCCGAGCTGTTTTGACGGATGAGGACCCTGTCTTCGCTCTTGAGCGCCCACTGGAGGCTTTGTGTATCACTGGCACTGGCGCAGAGGCCACCCATCCGTCTTTGGAATGCTCACATGGATTCTTGTCGCCAGGATGGGTGTGGTAGCCCCCCTTAGTCTTTCCCAGGGCATGGAGATGGTTTTCTTGCTTTGGTCTTGCATCTTCTTCGTTTGTTTCTAAATCCTGGTGCAAAGATGCTTTGGAGCTGCACTGTAAAGCGTTCTCTTTGTCAGCTCTTCTAGGCGAGTTCACTGGAAACCCTGAATCCCAACCCTCTTCTGGTAAAGCTTTGAAAGAGTTCTTCTGAGACCCCAGGCAGCTGTCTGAGCTGTCCTCACTGCCGTTCACATGGGCCACTTTTACAGCAATGTAGCTGTCTGCTAAGGTCTTGCCTTGGATCTGGTCTTTGTCATCCTCACACTTTCTGACACCAGCCTCTTGCTCCTGTCCAGTGGTTTGTCCTTCCGGGCTCCTGGTGCCAGGATGGAAGTGGAGTAAGGAAGAGTTCGAAGTGGTGAGGTATCCTTGGGTGGAACTATCCTTTGGACTAACAGAACTACTTCTAGTAATGGAGAGTTCAGAGAAGTCTCTTTTGAAAGCAGTACTGAAATTCTCCATCCTGTCCATGGATTTCACCTCTGCATGATGCTCCAAGGGTTGTCCTGCAGCACGCAGAGGGCTATGAAGACCCACTGGGTCTCTGTCTGAGTCTGAGGAAGTTAGGGGCTTCAATTCAGAACAGGGAGCAGACTTCTTCCAATTTTCAGTGCTTTGCTGGCTACAACCAGAGCTGCAAGTGGCTGCATCCATGTTTTCAGATTCAGGTAACGGCCGGCCCTCGCAGCCTGGCTGTGCTTCCGTGTATATGTCGTTTAGCACACGAATGAATTGCTTCTGGTGATGTGTACACAGTCTGACCATAAACTTTTCCAGGGGAGACTTCGGCTGATTGTTAGGATCTATTGCTATTGTCTCCGCTGTATCCTCACTAGAGAGACAAAGAGAGAAACAGTCAGTAAAGCAGAGGACAGAAAATTTAAGTTGTAAAACTTACAGAAACCCTTCTCCTCCCCCTTAGCAGTATATCTTCCCAAATGGCAACTGGTCTTAGCCCCCTTGACACTCAGCCAGGGGTGCACACAAAGCAATCCACCCAGGAAGGCAAAGCGTTATCCATTTGCCAGAGCAAGGGGCCTATCGCCATGTTGGGCAGCTCCCTCTCAGCCCCTCGTGGAGATTGGCACTTATCTTCTATGCACGTTCAGACCCAGACTTGCATTTCACTTTTGTCTGTCAGCTGGGACCCCCCCCCCACTCCTACAATCGGAAAGGGAGGATTTCAAGCAGTGGCCATTCTGCAGGACGAGGCCATGAACAAACCGACAAATACCAGCCTCCGAGACACCGGGCCCCACGAGCGAGGTCTCCACTGCAGCTCACTGCCATTGACAACCCCTGCTGTGCCATTTACAGGGCTGCTGTCCAAGCCCCGCCTAAGAACCATGGACTTCTGGGACCCTACGGCTAGACACACTCCTCTTGTCTCAAGCCATCTCTAAGGCGGGGGTGACCATACTTACCTGCTGCACAGCGGCAACTAGTTAGGATTAACCAGGGGTGAGGTTAAAGGCTGGTTAATGTTTGTCCTCGTCTTTGACAGTGTATTATTAAAGCCAGACTAGTTCCCAATTACAGCTCTTTGAATTTCCACCCATTCCTTCTAACGAGCCTGCAGACTGGTCTCCAGCATATCTCCGGGGTCAGAAGCCAGGGGAAGTGGCCTATAGTTCCTTTGTTAACATCTTTCTCCCCTTTAAAAGCTGGAAGTAACAAGTCTCCCCCCAGCCTTCTGCTAGCCAGTCGGACACCAAGGACAGATGTGCCACATGCGCTAATGGAGGCATCACATCCTCCGCAATCCCTTTACATTCGGGTATTAACTGTCTGGCGCAATCC